TAAAACAATAAACATATATGTATTAACATGTACATATTGCTGTTTTTCTGCCGTTCTACTTCACCTCCCAGAGTAATACTACAGCATAGTCTCCAGAGATGTTTAGGACCTGGCTGCATTGTCTGACAAGCCGCCTTTTGGATCTCATTACTGGCTGAATAGAATTACAGATCCTTTGGTAGGCAAAATAGCTTTTATATTTTTATTGCGTATTTTGTAGTTCAGTTAGCTGATGTATACTACATTTCTTGGATTTGCTTTATTAAAGGGCTGTGATGTGAGGTGCAGGCTGAGCTACCTGTAGGATGAACCATTCCCAATGAATGCATTGAGTTGGCCTTTGCCACTGTTGTGCACAATGCAATGTTCTGGCAATGCAAACACTTATAATTTTAAGACTTGTTGAAAGTGTACTTGCTATTCTTTGCTATGTATATTGGCATGTTTGCTTTACTATTTCTTTTTTATTATGGAGCCAAAGTAACACTATCTGAAGCATACCATTATGATCGGTTCTAGGTTTAGAAGTCTAAGAGTGCATTCAAGTAGATTTTTACCCCTTTTTACTCAAAATCACAGCATGCAGCTCTGCATGCTGATATAAAATCATATTCCAATAATTAGTTAAACGAACATGTTTTTTTATTTACGTTACAAGTAGAGTTCATCCGCTTCCTGGTCCACTTGGGCACCATCTCATCATTTGTGTCAAAGCATTGCATCCTGGGAAGGTTAAATCAGCATTGCATTTTTGCGAAATCTTATCTGTAATCTCATGAGATCTCTGGGAAAGTCATTTCATTTTCCTCCCCTGAGATGATGTGCATGGTCACATGTGCCAGAGTTCCAGGAAGTAAAGGGAGATGGTTTCATCTAGAGCTGCAGCTAACGATTATTTTCAAAATCGATTAGTTAGCCGATTATTAAGTCCGATTAATCGGTTAATCGGATAAAAAATAAAATCATTTTTTTTTAAATGGCTCCAGTGATTGGTCTACTAGTTTGTATTGAGATTGCAGTCCATAACAGGAGCAAGCTTGGAGCGGTGGAAGTAAAAGAGAAAAAAAAATAGTGTGGTGTGCAATATAGTGAAATGAAAAGTGTAAAATTATACAGCAATGAATGCAGAATGGCGTAGGCTCTAGAGGACTAAAAATCCCAGTAATACATTATACAGCACAATACAGAATACCACCAGCTATAGAGGAGTACAGCAAATCCCAGCAATAGCACATTATAGCTGGTGGTATTCCGCATTGCGCTGTATAATGTATTATTGCTGGGATTTGTAGTCCTCCATACAGCGCAATGCAGAATACCACCAGCTATATAGGAATACAACAAATCTCAGCAATACATTATACATACAGTGTATAATGTATTGCTGGGATTTGTATTCCCATGTATAATATACAGCACAATGTACCATCAGCTATAGAGGAATACAAATCCTAGCAATACATTATAGAGTACCATGTGGGGGGGAGGGAAAAGTAGGCTTACTTGAGCAGTCTTCCAGCAACTTGCTTCTGAGATCGGGCCTGTCTATTGGCGGCTGCCATCCGCCCACACCTGCTCCTCCTTACTTCTTCTCTCCGCGTCCGTGTGCCAATCGTGGATTTGGGCGGGCGAATCTGGCAGCGGCGAGCGTGATGTGGGGAGGTGGTGTGGAGCCGGGAACAGGGCCAACCAGTAGGAATCCGATTAATCGATGATTGAAAAAGTTGACAACTTTTTCAATAACTCGATTATAATCGATTATGTCGATTAGTTGTTGCAGCCCTAGTTTCATCTGCCCTTAGTAAAAATGGCCACTGTCAGAAGACTGGGGAAGAAAATATAAAATTAGGTATCTAAAGAATTTTAAAAAAGCCTGCAGTTATCTATAAGTATGTGTTTGCAGATTGCCATTATTAAACCTTTTCTAAATGTGCCTTTTTGTTATTTTTAAATATAAGGGTAAAGTTCCTCTTTTAAGCATGCAGGTAAACATTTTGTGGTGGTTTTACAACTCATGTAATGCTCCTTCTAGCATTGGTACATAAAGTAGGAATTCTTAACTTCTCACAGTCACAAGACTTTTGGTAGTGTTTTGAAGCCACAGGTGATTACACTGTTAGTACCATATATCTAGCTTCTTGCCTCTTGGGCACTGCATTGGAGAAGAGGCTTCTTTCCTTTTTGTTATGCTACAGAGCTACATCCTAATAAGATGTATCCTGTATTTTCCACATCTACGTTTCCATTTTCAGCCCAACTCTACACCCGTATCCGGCAAACCTGCAACTTCACCTTATTTTCCCCCCACTCTTATCAATTTCACACCTTCAGATCACATCTCTTGTCTACTGTAACCTTTCTTTATTTAACTGTCGGCTCTTTCCTCCACCTCCCTGCTACATGGGGGTAAAAGAATAGGAAGAGGGGGTCATTGTGAAGGAAAGTAGGGTGAGATAGCGTAGAGACGTGTGGGTGGGAAGGAACTGGGTATATTTTACTAATACTTTACGCTACTATGAAACAATATGGCGTCTATAGAAAACTTTTGGCAGATGTCGAAGTGTGCATTGATTTTTGCTGTTGTCTCTAGTGTTGAATGAGTTAAGGATAATCTTTACCTCTCTCTAGCATGTTTCAACTTGCCATGCTCTGGAAGGGTTTTTGTTCCCTTATTTTCCTTTCTACACTCCTGTGAGAACACATTCTTAAAATTCCTTTATGCTGCACAGCGGCTGATTATGAGCTTTAACGGCAACCCCTAGTGAGGACGCCAAATTATCATTACAATCGGTGTATAAATCCCCTATGGCCTGGGATCCACATAGTCTCTCGGTTTCATTGTACATTTGAGCATACACAAGAATCTGCACTGCAAACCCTTTGTACTAAAAATATATATATCGTATAGATATATCCCAATATGTACTGAAAAGTAAACCCAGAAATACAAGTTGCCAATAGAGGAAGGTTAGGATTGTCTGCTTAGAATCTGAAACATCAGAGGAAGTTATTACTTGTTGGCACACAAAATCTGGCTTTTTTTTTTTTTTTTTGTTTCCGTGTACACAAAGGAGAAAACCTGTATTAATTGTATAGCCTGATATTCATAGAGAGCCTGGTACATGCAACGGATATAGTTTTTAATAGCAGTATTAAACTTTTCTGTATTCCTAATCGCACAAAGTTGAGTTTAAGATCTGTCTAGGTCTCCTAATACTTTGCAGATTCTGGGATCCATTATGTTTGTTAATTGAGAAATGAGAAACACTCGCTAGTAGTTCATTGTAGCAGAGAGCCGGAATAAACATTATCTGTCCTCCACCCCCCATTTCCCTCGGTCTGGTATAATAGATGACACATTGCCTGGTTAATGGTAGAGAGCAGAGCAGCATACAGTAAGGGAGGGGGAGTGGAGGGGTGTATTGTTTAGTTTGGGATGTAATCTCTGTGTTGCTCAGCAACCAGCTCCTGGAGATGGGAGTGGACTGCAGTTACTTCTAGCAACCGTTGTTTGCACAGCAACAATCCAGGGGAGAGCAAACAGAGCCAAGGAAGGCAGGCTGTGCTTTACACATGGAGCATCTGCATCTGTTTTTCTGCTGATTAAACATAGTCTGACTTGCACTCTCCGGCACTTAGCTGTAAACTCTACTCTCTCTCTCTATTTATACAGGCTTATTTATATAGCTGTCTGCAGCCAGAGCACAGGCATAAAATATATGGATTTTCTTGCAATGCTAAATTTTGTTGGGATCGTTTCTAGACCAGGCTTTCTCAACCAGGGTTCCGGGGAACCCCTAGAGTTCCTCCGCCGATTTGCTAGGGGTACCTTGAGCAATGACAAATTGCTTTCCCACCTAAAATGATTACCCCATAAAGGGGCAGTTTCCCAATGATGTGTTATGTAAGGGGTCTTTGTTACTTTGGTCATCATTGCAAGGAGGGTGTTTTCTCCACTGACCACCAATGTAAGGGGGGCATTTCTCCACTGACCACCAAATGTAAGGGGGGCATTTCTCCACTGACCACCAAATGTAAGGGGGGCATTTCTCCACTGACCACCAAATGTAAGGGGGGCATTTCTCCACTGACCACCAAATGTAAGGGGGGCATTTCTCCACTGACCACTAACGTAAGGGGATGTCCTGTCCGCTATGTGGACAATTTTTGTGGACAATTTTTGCAAACTTTTTCTTTCCTGGCCATTATTCATTTTGTTTTCATTATTCATATATAAAGCAAGGGAGTGCTGTAAAACTTGCTCTGGGTGTCCAATAATAAGTATTCTGGATTCTTTATTCTATTTGCTGTGGAATATAGATATAAGGATTTTTAGCAGGGGTTTCCCTGAGACCTCCAGGGTAAAAAGGTTGAGAGGCTGTACTAGATGGTGTTCTTGTTTTTGCTTCTTCCCCTGAAGCTCCCACCCTCAGCCTTAAGGCCCCGTTCACACTGGGGCGGTTAGGCAGCGCGGATCCGCCGACATGAACGATCCCATCCATTGCTATGGGGACTGTTCATGCGACTGCGCGGCTTAGCGCAATCCGAACTGTTCCCTGCACTATTTTAGCCGTGCTCATCAGTGCGATTTTCCATACAGCTTTCAATGGAACCGTGCTGGATTGGCGTGGTTTTGAAAGTTTAATTGCGTTTTCAGCACTGAAACACAATTAAACTCCCAAAACAGTTAAATTAACGCGGCAACCGCCTTAGTGTGAATGGCTCTAAGAATAATTCTAAGGGTTCTCAGACTTCTAATTTTAATATGAACATTTTGTCTTTTTGTAATAAACAAAGGGTTTTCCCTCTACTTTGTAAGCCAATAACCTGACAATAACCAGTAATACATACTGTAGCTGGGCTTTCATGTTGGTAATCATGACTGATTGCTGCTACAGTGTGGCTAAGAACAAAGCTTTTTATTTGTCTCTTAACAAATGAGAGACTCCTATTTTGATAGTGTTAATTTTAACGCCCATGTTTTATGATTTCTTGCACAGACAGCAGCATGCAAAGTTCAGACAGTGGCTCAGATTCTGCGACCTCAGTCGCTCTACGGACATCTGCATCAACCCAGGCACCTGTAGTTCAGCCAGTACCAGCTTCCCAACAGGTAATGCATTCCTATCAATCAAAACCATTGACCATCAAAGTTCTGCAGTGATTGGTTAGCCAAAAGTAATTTTGTTTTGATTAAACATTCAAGTTTTAGTTCTAAATTCTAGATAAGCTGTAAGGAAACCATGGAGATGGAAGTTGTGACTTAATTTTGATTTGAGAGAACTTGGTAAATTGTTTAAAAAAATAAAACAAATTGTATTTTAGGACCTGTTCACCTGCGTTATGCCGTGCCTCAATATACGTTGTGTTAAGGTAGCCCATTCAAAATGACTGTCGGCCAAAGCACCAGCAGCAGACAGCAATGCATGAATGCGAATGGGCCCTTGCATATATTAGTAAAGAGTTCTATTTTGTACAAGGTACAAACATTGAAAATCATCTAGCCGTGTTGGCTTTTAAAATATTGCATGCATCATTTGCCAGTCACATCTTCTCATTTTTTGCTCATGCAACATTAAGCAATGCCTTTTGTTCTTTGGGAACCTGATCTAGTTTCTAGCTTGCCTAATGTTAGCGGTTTTTGTTATTGGTAAAATGTAGGGATGTCCCGATATATTGGCCGCCGAAACCTATCGTCCGAAAATTGCACTTTTGGCAATGCCGATAAGTGCAATTTTCTTTCCGATATAGCGCTGCATCATATTCTCTCCTCCCCGCTGGGCGCTGCTCTGTGTCCCAGCGGGGAGGAGAGAAACTGTCACAGGCGGCCGAGCATTGCGGGAGAACGCTGTGAGCGACCGGCGTCTCTCCTCCTACAACAACGCTCAGCCTCCTGTCACAGATCAGAGGAGAGCGGTGTGGGGGCAGAGACAGCCAACACTGTCACAGTGATCGCTGAGTGTTTGTAAATAATTGAGGACATGATACAGTTGGGCAAAAAAGTATTTAGTCAGCCACCAATTGTGCAAGTTCTCCCACTTAAAAAGATGAGAGAGGCCTGTAATTGGCATCATAGGTAGACCTCAACTATGAGGGACAAAATGAGAAAACAAATCCAGACAAATCACATTGGCTGATTTGGAACGAATTTATTTGCAAATTATGGTGGAAAATAAGTATTTTCACCACTTTCTATCCCTGTGACAATTGGATTTTGAAAATTTTGGGTTGTCATGGAAACAAGGATTGGTGATAAAGCTTTAGTGGAGACACTTTTTTTTTTTCCCCATGATAACTCTTACAGGAGTGAATTTCCCTTCCTAGGTGTAGATTTCCTTTCATTTCCTGTTTCAAGGACAGGAAGTGAGATGAAATCTTTCTAATGATACAGACAGCAGTAAAAAACCTCTGACCCGGAAGAAGAGACGGGCACCCCTCGTCTGCACGTCTAACAAGAGCCAACTTCCTGTAATGTATGTACAGTACTACAAACCAGATTTAAAAAGGCGGGCACTCCTCGTCCACACGAGTGTGGTAGCATTACAACGACCCCTGCTGTACAGTAATAGCCCCGTTTTTGTAAGTAGGAGTCCTAGGTAAGTTCGATGTATGTAACCTCGGGGACTGCCTGTACAGTTTTGTCTGACTCAATTGAAGCGGCTTATTTTGGGATGAACCCTTTATCCAAATACTGCATCCTTTTCTTGGATAACCACTTGGGAGCTTTTATCTTGGGAAACTGACAGCTGCTAAAATAGAGTTAATGTTAGTGGGTTCACAATAATTATTTAAGTGTTTTATTGCCTTTCTAAGAGTAAAATGGTCTGGCCATCTACTTTTCTGTTAATCACTTTTTCCTTCCAGAGGAGCTTGTCTCAGTCATCTGGCTCTGCTCCCAAAGGGGCACATGGTCAAGGTGTGCAAAGAGCTCACCAGATACAGCAGCAGGTAACAGGCCTCAGATGGTCTAAGCATGGAGTCTGGCTGCTACTAATCATACTGCCTACCTGTCTTTTATATAAAGTACCAAAAGTCCTGCTCGAACACTTACCCCAGTCTGCACTGAAGGTTAATGTATTTTTGTGCTTTTCTCCTGCTTTCTTGGAGATTGACAGTAAAGCCACAAGCTATTGATATATACACATATACACATATACACATATACACATATACACATATGTGTGTATATATATATATATATATATATGTGTGTATGTGTGTATGTGTGTGTGTATATATATATATATATATAATTTCTTTACATTTTCAGATCTATTTCAGGTGTAGCTCCATTTTAAACTCTAAATTAAATTTTATATGGGAAACGTATTGGGTCAATGTATTTATCATTTACTCATGTTTCACCTTTCTGTGTGTTACGTGCATCAGCAAATTGCAATACCATTCATTTTAACGACACATTTGCAAAAAATGGTGCATGTCCAATTTTTTTTCTTTGGACGGTTTAATGTGTTGGCAGCCCATTCATATAAATGGCTGTCTTGCAGTTTGTCAATGGCAGTGCGCATTAACCCAACGCACTAAGGTGGAGATGGGCCCTTAGGCTCAATTCACACAAAAGCGGCTGTCTTTGTGCATTCAGGCCATATGAATATGCGCGCAGCCGATCTAAACCTAAAACAATGCACTTTAAGGTGCATTGTTCAGACTTTTGCAGCAGTATGAAATATCGCGTCCCGAGAAGTAGTAAATGCATGATTTTATGGTGGATTCAGCACATTCGGGGTTATAGCCACAAATGTGCGGAATCCGCGAGTATGTTAAAGTTTGCGCATTTTCCTGTGCGGAAAATGCTACCGCTATGTGTTAATGGAGCCTAAGACTTGTGCCCCATTGCATATGATTTTCTTGTTTAACAATAATGTTGCCATTTTGAAAGCTCCACCCTAATGCTGTTTACTGCACCAAGCTTAAGCTCACAAGGGAGAAAGGGGCTGCTTCTAACATTACAGCCTTGTCCAATTGCATGACTCACAGTTCAATTGCATGTGCCTGTGGTATGTATTTACTGAAGAGTTACTTTTTTTTTTCCTGTAATAATAGATTTTTGTAGATAAGAAAAAAAAAGTTTTAAGTGTATAAAATATACAGTGTGGGAGAAAGGGGATTTTAACTTTTGCCTACCATTTACATACATATATATATATATATAATAAAACTTCATTTGCAATAATGCACTCTTTTTGCTTTTGAAAATGGTAGTTTCCAGTAGGCTTCCTCTGATCATAAATGTTAATTTTGCCTTAACAGGTCCAGACAGTTCAGCATGTTTATCCAGCACAGGTGCAGTACGTGGAAGGAGACTCTGTGTACACCAATGGAGCAATGTGAGTCGTGTGTGTTCTCAATCTATAGGTGCAGGCTGGCTATTGAATAAGAAAGGTCATTTTTATTAAAATAAATGACATAATGGCTTGTTAATTATGTGTATCTGGTCTTACCAAAACCTAGGGCGTTCACCTAGAAGATGCAAACTAAAAGCTGAAACATTTATATGAATTACCTGGCAATTTAGATTCTGTTCAAACATAAAATGCATGTCTCAGCACAGGGCTGGCTTTAGTGACCCCACCCCCCTCGGTAGCCACACCTATTTCTCCAATATCCGCATCATGTAAAGACTCCCATTTTGTTAAAGGAGAACTATGAGGTGAGTGCTCTTCACTCTCCTCATAGTTCTAGCCGACCTGTGACAATGAGACTGTCACAGGTCGGCTCAGTAGATCGGGAGGTGAGCAATAAAAAAAAAAAACAGAAGGCAAACAAGTGGTAAACCAGGGGTCTCAAACTCAAGTTATTCGGGGGCCATTGGACAAATTTTTTAGTCCCGTGGGGGCAGCTAGTATATACGGTACCAGTTTTAATGTATGCACATGTTACAAGCGGCAACTGTCACCGATTTTAAATTAATGATCAGGTGACAGCTGCTGCATGTAAACGCCTGCACACTGCATGTAATCATATGTGATCCAATTACATGCAGTTAGGAATCAATCACTCTCCCTGGATACACGATTGTTTATCCAGGATCCAGGGAATTGTTTTTGTAACTGCATGTAATCATATCGCATACGATTTCATTGCGGTATGTAGGTGTTTACATGCAGCAGCTGTCACCTGATCATTAACTTGAATGGGTGACAGTTGCTGCATGTAAACGCCAGATTAGGGATTCCTGCTTCAGGAAAACGCAAGTTTGCGACCCCCCCCACACATAATACACTTCACCACCCCTCCCCCACACACATAATACACTTCACCACCCCTTCCAAGCCCTTCCAGCACATATAATAATAAACTTGTCCTCTCCCTCCCAAGCCCCCAGAACACATATTAAACTCCCTCCCAAGCCCCCAGAACACATAATAAACTTCCCCCCTGCCTCCTTTCCTTCCAAGCCCCCTCACCTGCTGGCATCTGTGCAGGGAGGATGCACATCATCGTTCCCTAGTTATCTAGTGGTGATTAGTAAGGACTAGTGCAGACCTTACTAATGATCCATCATTCGGCCGGAGCTCAGAAGTGATAGAGCTCTGGCCGGAGCTGACAGGAGCAGCTCTGCGGTCTGCATCAGACAAAGATGCAGACCGTGTAGCTGCTCCCGCAAGTCGGGCACGCGGTCCGTGACCGTGTGCCCGACTTGTCAGCTGGCTGCGGGCCACATAGTACCGGCTCGCGGGCAGGAATTAGCCCGCTGGTCGGTACTTTAAGACCCCTGTGGTAAACGATAAATGTCAAACTAAATTAGAGTCTATAAAAAAAAAGTGTCAGGATGTCACGCAGACCCTTTTTTTCAAATAAGTGCATCTAGAAAAGTAAAAAAAAACACAAAACCTAGACCACATGTTAAATTAGTGAATTACTATATGCCCGCATATACGAAAAATGTATTTGGGCACATAATAATTTGAGAATGTGTGGCGGCTATGTTGTCCACTGGTGCGTTCTGCGAATGCGCGCCTCCATCTTGGAGGCGGGGAGCATGACGCCATGCATGCGTGGCGTCAGGAGACGTCACACACCAATATAGGCGCCGCCATCTTGGTGTTTACCTAGATATATACCAAGATGGCGGCGCCCAACACGTGCGGTGTCATTTGATGTTATGCGTGCTGTCTCCAGAACATGTCTAATAATACGTGGGGGGGGTAACTTTTTTTTAACATTTTAATTTTTAATTTTTTTGTGATCACCGTGCCACGGTCTCAGTGATAGCAGATGTGCCGTAGGAGGATGAGGGGGGGGATCCCCGAAAACCATGGCGGTGGGGGCCGGACACGATTGCCGCTGCTCCTTTCATACAAGTGATCAGATCACTTGTATGAAAACGAGCCGAGGCCCCACGCTGTACATTCAGCTCTGCTTGTCCGGAGCAGGGCAAAATGTACCAAAAAGCTACTCGCTTGGCGCCCGAAACTGCCTTTGCGGATGTCGGGCGATAGGAATTCCACACCCCTGGTCTTCCAGGCCAGCAACCTGAGAGATGATTGGCTTCTCCTTCTACAGGAAACAAAATTGGAAAAGCAGTTAAATACCCTCCCACCCCCTCGTCCCTCAGTTGAAATAAAAGTATACTACCTCCTCCAGTGCACGAGGGAAACAACTCACAAACAGGATGCAAAAACAAACCAGGGTGGAAAGTAGGCTTGCTGTCCTGGAAGATTCATAGAAATCCCACTATCTGTAAGTTTAACAGAACATTTTTTTTTTTTCTCCTGGACTGCTTGCTACAACTAAGCGTGTGGGAGGGGGTTATAGCCTCTAGGGGTTGACTTTCAGTTTCTCTATGTGCCTAGCTTCTATTTCTCCTGTATACTGTAGTATAACCCTTGGTTGCTTATTATAAATAAAGCCGTGTCCCATCAATTGTGAAAAGGATTTCTGGGAGTGCACAAATCCTATCTTTTTGCTTTGATAAGCCAATGGTGTCTTCTCTTGCATATCTCGTGCAATAAATTAGCATTTGTCATAACAGGCTTGTCGGTGGTTCTTTTCTGACATTTATATCTGGTAATGTTTGTTTTCACAGCCGGACGACCTATTCTTACAATGCCGAAGCTCAGATCTACGCTCCTAGTAGTGTTGCCTCATATTTTGATTCCCAGGGCGGAGGTGCCCAAGTGACCACTGTGGTCTCCACTCCCTCTGCCATTCCTTCCCACAGTATGGTTGGCATTGCCATGGATGTAGGTGGGAGCCAAATCATCTCTAGCTCTGGAGCATACCTGATCCATGGTGGCCTAGACAATTCTCGTCATTCTTTGTCTCACACTTCACGTTCTTCCCCTGCCACGGTATGTATAGAACATCTACACTAGTAACATTTAAAATGCTTATTGTGGCTAAAGTGCAACAGCAGCAAAAACATTTTATTTATTTGGATAGAGTGGGAAAGGGTTGGCCAAGCACTCTTAAAAATATTGTCGATTTCAGTACAGGACAAATTGTTGGGACTTTAAATTTTAGTTGCTGCCTTTACCAAATGGGAGCCATTTATTTTCTTAATTTCCTGTCCTAGTAATTGTAGTCATGAAGACAGGAAGTGAGGTGGAATCTCTTCAACAGGGACACACACAGCAATAGAATCTTTTTATAATTTGCTGGTTTTTACCTTTTTTTTTTTTTTTTTTTTTTTTTT